CATTGAATATAGTACACACTACTGGTTCATTTCAGAGCTTTGTTGGATATATCAGATGTGTTGGGAACCTGCTATCTGTGTGCCTCCCTTCAAGGCAGCAATCTCGATAAAAGTGGTAAGTATGTAGGCTTGATTACCAACCTGTTACTGAACATTATTATTATTATTAGCTGTTGAGACACTAGTGGTTCTCCTGGTGACTCACATGGTTACTAAGCTGTATCCCAAGGAAGTCATTTTCAATTATTTCCCCACTTTTACCATGAAACAGCAATTTATTGGACAACAAAAGTCAGCTCTTAATAAGTAATTAAGGCATGTAACTACCTCAAACAGATTTTTCCATAGCTCATTGTCAAACACAAGATTGTCTTGGAAAAAAAAGTTAGGAAACAAACACAAATTAGCTGTTCAACAAAAATGCATGCAAAAGTAATATGTTTGGAACAGAACCATCCAAACGAGACACTTTCATTTCCTCATTAATGTAACGAATTGACTGTCTTATTTGCATAGCTTGTGGAAAACATCAACAATCTCAACAATCAAGTGACAATGTGGAGATAATGGTAATGCACCCCACGTTAACTTCCAACAGGATGATAGTTTGAAGTATGATAGCAGGTCAGTGGCATCTGAGCATCCAATTTGTCGCTCACATTGTAACCTATCAAAAGTATCCCACACATGGTACTCCTGTATCCTTTAGCTGATAATCATAATTTATAACAATCTCAAATCTACTGATTTTCTTCTAATTTGGAAGTTTTAAAAAAAAATTTACGAACAAACAAATCCAACAAATGAATAAAATGCAAGTGTACGATGTTCTGTTAATGCGATTTACTACTGATAATTATTTGGTTGTGTTATGCTATGAATGTATGTCTTTAAGGAAATGACAGTAGCCTTACAAGAGAGTTGGTAGAAGCAATACGCCAAGGCAAGGAGGCTTAAATGTTCTAAAGGCTCAAAGGTTAATGTTGCAGTGTCATATTTATTGTTCAGGTTGATTTCATCATAACTATAATGGTTGAAGTTTTCTAACTCGACACTACATTAATTTGAATTTACAGGGACTCTTGGAAAGGGACCGAGCTAGAAGATTACAGCAGGAACTTGAATTGCAAGCTTCTGTTTACAAGTTTTGTAGATCACAGATAAATTGGCAAGCATTGAATTGATTCAAAATTGTGTACCAAAGACAGTTAAATCTGTATACACCACACATGCAACACAGAAATGCCAATGTGCATTAGAAAAACGAATATAAACTTCACTCATGTAAACTGCTTATAGAAAGAACTCAAGGTGTATATCTTTTTGGTAGAAGACAAAAATTAAAAAGTACAAAATTAATAATAATGAGGAAACTGAAAATACCATCATTGGCTTTCTGGATAAACCACTCATACGCCACAAAGATAGCACTATGAACTAGGAAACAAATGTAACTTTGTTGATGTAAACAGCAAATAGAAAGGAATCATGATGTATTTTTTTCTTTTTGTAGAAAATAAAAATTAATATACAAACAAGAATGAAGAAACTGGAATGGCAATTGAATTTATTAACAATAAATAAACCAGATAATATCTGAAAAGTAGTCCTTCCAAAACTCCACATCAACAGAAATGCGTATACCAGTATATTATATGTAAAATTTATTAGTGTAAGTGCGTGGAGGCATCTGTTTTTGCACTCGAGTGAAATGTGGCTGTATATATATAGTGCTATTAAAGTAAAACAAGAAATTGGGAAATTATCACTTTTATGCCCCATGTTAATTGTCTACTAAATTAAATTCAATGTATTTTACTTATATGGCTGGCTGATCTTGGTGAAGGGGAAAGTTTGGATGAAACTGTGGTGGATTCTGCGGAGGTAATGTTTGTACTTCCTTGAGACTGCCAAAACTATGGTGTAACTGGCCTAAGTGTGAAATTGGGCTTTGATTTACTGGATATACCCGGTTTTGGCTTTTAGAATTGTTGACATATCTTTGCCAGCAATTGATGTGCTCAACAATCAACGTTCTTTAAAAATTCTAATATATGGACAAAACTCAGCAAATTCACCCATACAGTGAATTTGTCCTTCCATGAGTTTCTAAGTGTTGGTCAAATGCCAATTTCCTCATTGCACTGTGAATTTGAACTGCACAGGCAGCACTTCATGGTAATGTCAACAAAGCAAGGTGAAATATTTTGGGTTGAAATGATAATTAGGATGGTTTATTTGCAACGTACTCTTTGAACACTGGAGAAATTATTCCCTTAATAAGTCTTGGGAAATAATTTGGTGAATGTTCTTTAATGTTCTACAATTGATCATTCTTGTTTAGGTCCGCAAGAGAAGGTTCGAAAAGTTTAGTGAAGGGGTAATTACTTTTTATGATGTATTTGAAAAATTATCCACTGCAATTCTTTTGTAAGTGAATAGTAAACCTTTCATTTGGAAAACAACTTTGAAGACAGAAGTGATCAAAACACAAATGAGTAAAACGTAATTGTTTCATATATTTTGTAGGAATCTTGTAAATATCCCCGTAATAATGAGAGTAACTGTGATGAAGACAGTAGAATTGTAAGTATAGTCAGTGGTTTGAAATGAGTTCTAGTTCCTATTTCAAAACTTGAAGGAAAAACTGCACATTGTTTGAAGAGTTTATTTGATTAAAACATATTTTCTTTTTTCTGCAGACTTTCAAGAATTAATGATTTGTATTTTTTTTTTAGTAACATCTCAATTGTTCAACTTAATAAATTTTCACTTCTATTTGATTTTTAGTGATTTTTTCGCAATAGTTTATTATGGATTGATTTCAATACCATGAATTATTGTAATTCATATTTTTAAGCAATACAACAATTTAAGTGGTTATACAAGTTGTGCATTAGTTTTATTCAAATTAAACTTCATTTCCCTTCCTTGATGTTGTTTTTTCTTTAAAAAAAGTTACGAGATCTATTAACAATAGTTCGTCTATTTGCATGTCTTTTAATGCTGTCAATACCAATATAATCAAAGTGAATGAGGTCCAGGTTCAGCACTAGGTAAATATAAGTGTCTTCTGTAACGTCACGTGATAGTTGTTGTCTAATAGGACACCAGATGAGACATGTGCTCGGGTTTGTGTCAGGCTGTACTTTGAACCGACTCAGGAATTAAAAGTATCGTTTGTAATAAAACCCGTTTGTTGCTGTATAGAGCCACAACGTTACATATTCAACATCTCTCATTGTATAATACTAAAGAGAATCTCGAAACTTGATTAACTGAAATAACCGGGAGGTGATGATTATTGCCAATGTGACACAAAGTAAGGAATCATTCATTGAAAGCAAAACGGATGGGTTAGCTCAATGATGCTACAAATAAAGGCTCGCACTCGCTTAATTAACGGTTTATTTATCCATTCATTTCTTTTCTGACAATAGATAGGTTTTCACAACTTATTTAAACAATTCTGAATTCCGGATTTTAGGGTTGCCACAACGGAACTACTGTTGGCGGTTTTCACATAATTTTTATTTCAGTATCAATGAGATTATGAATAACTATGCGCATCAAATCAAAAGAAAGAAAAGTTCTTTTCGTCGATAGGTAATGGTGGCCTTAATAATTACTACTTTCATACACTGTACAGGGTCGAGAGAAAGGAATCGTTTACTTAAAGCAAAACTGATTTCGATAGGTTTTCTCAATGATCATCCAAACAATAAAGGCTCGCACTCCCTCAGCTAATAGTTGATAATATCCATTCATATATTTCTGACCATTAACATTGATTCTCACAACTACAATACCCCCCTTCCTGTTAATCCAGCCACACATAACTGAGATACGGTCGGCGGTTATCACAATTTTATATATTAAGCAATTTTGATTTCAGTGGAAACAAAACGTTATACAATAAAGCGAAGCACTTGTCAAACTTGAAAAGCAGTATTTTTATAATGAAATCGACAATAACTCGAGAATTGACGTCATTCCAAAGTTAAGCAGTTTTCCTGCATGTAAGATCCCTGATCTTACATGCAGGGGTCTTACATTCAGGGGTCTTACATTCAGGGGTCTTACATTCAGGGGTCTTACATTCAAAGGTCTTACATTTAGGGGTTCTTACACTCATGGGTGTGACATTCAGGGGTCTTACATGGAGGGGTCTTATAGTCAGGGGTCTTAAATTCAGGGGTTCTCACAATCTGGGGTCTTACATTTAAGGGTCTTACATTTAGGGTCTTATTCACGGGTTCTTACACTCAGGGGTCTTACATTCAGGGGTTCTTACATTCATGGGTCTTAAATTCAGGGGTTTATATCAGTGTGTTTTATATGTAGAGATATACCCAGATGTAGATATTGATGGTTGTTCCTTACGTTTAGGGGTTTATATCAGTGTGTCGTACACGAATGGGTTGTGCCCAGATGTTGATATTGTTTGTTGTTTCTTACATCCAGGGGTTTTTATAAATGTGTCTTACATGACTTGCTGTAGCCAAATACTGCTACAAATCTTAGTATCTTACGGTTAGGGTCTGTGTTGATCGTAACTCTTTACATACAGTGCGTGTTATGTGCCCAGATGTTGGAAATGTCACATCCATGTTAAACCTGTGTCGAGTTGTTTATTGCGAAGGTAAAATGTTACATCTAGGGGTCTGCGCGCAGATGTTGATATCGATCGTCGATCGTCAATCGTGAAGGTCAGAACCGTACCTGACATCCAGGAGTTTTATATTTGTACCTCTATATTGTCGCTATGTAACGATAACGATTTACTTAGGGCGGTTTTTAATAAAATGTCATGGTAGTTTTATACAAAGGTCTGTTCCCAGCTATTGATAATGATCCCCAACAACCTTGCGTTCAGTTAAGACTGCAAATCACCTGCCACTCAAGCATCGAACTCGTAACAATCAGTCATTTATTAATAAAAGATGTTATTAATTAAAAGTTCTTTACAAACGCGTCATTATGAGCAATTTCAGCCAAATTCGCGCGGTTAGTTCCTCCTATAAGCGAAATTCCAAAAAATTAACTGTCAACCATCAAATGACCCAAAATTTAATTATCAAACGTCAAAAGAGCCTATTTTAACCGTGAACCGTCCATGTGACCCCACCCCATTGAGAATCTCTAACTTAAGTTCCTTAACTAGTCAAAAAAAGTGAGGCACTGTCAACCATGATCAAAGAGTTGATCAAATTAAACGCAATGCCAGAAATCTTGGAACGGCGCAATACGGTCCTAATGGTGGCAAACTCGTGTAAATGCATATCTGAGATTGACAATGCAGTGGCTACGTAATACTCGTGCAATAGTCGTATATTATTTGATACGGCTGGTGATTTGCATGTTGATCGAACTTTGATATGATTTGACTGTAATTAAAGTTTCATGTTGATCCAAACTTATTATGGTCTCTTAGAATGTCAACAGTTGTCAACGTTCTACTGCAAGGAAACGAGTTGAAATGTTTTGGGGGCGAACTTGTTTTACTGCATGCAGCCAACTCGCAAAGGTGGTGGTAAGTGGCAAACTTTCAACGAAAAGAAACTTCTAGATACCTGTCCGTTGATAGATTTATGCCATAGCGTTGCCAGAAATTTGGGACAATATGGCGGAGGAGGTTCTCGTGTTACAAGCAAAATGGCGCCGAAACAGTACAAGAAAATGTATGGGAAAAGATTGTTTTTTCAAAATAGCTATCTAAAAATGGGATATTGTTTCGCTGTGTACTTGGAAATGCAGCCTGCATCGGTTAAGCGTCCATCGCTACGAAAAAGAAATACTCAAATTCAAGCCTACCTTTTGCCAAACCGCCCCCTGGTTAGCTCAATTGGTTAGAGCGCTGGATTGTGTTGTGCGGGAGGTGGAGGGTTCGAGCCCAGGCCGAACCAATACTCATGATCTTAAAATGACTGAGAATTTGCTACCTTTCTATAACATCAATGAAATGGATAGATATTCTAGTCTTCTCGGATAAGGACGAATAAATGGAGGTCCCGTCTCCTGCAGGGCTAGGGGCAGGAGAAGTTAATCTCCCAAGATTGTTCGCGACT